ATGGTGGCTAGGAGTGTGTTGCTGGGAAGGTGGTCTATGTTTTTAAGTTTCCATAGAAAGTCTGTAGTGTCTTGTACAAAACTTGCTCTGTGGGTGACGAGCGGTTTTAGGATTGATTCAACGAAACCTGATATTTCCTCAGTTAGGGTCCCATGGTTGCATATGATAGTTCTGCCAGGGTTCCCTTGTTTGTGGATTTTAGGGAGCATGTAAAAAGTCCCTGGGTTAGGTAGAGGGGGGATCAAGGTCTGTAGTTTTTCTTGTAGTCTTGATGGAAATGATTTGATGGTATTGTTGAGTTTTTTGGTGAAAAGGGGAGTAGGATCTTCTTGTAGTTCTTTTAGTAGGTGGTGTCAGAGAGCTGTCTGTTGGCTTCCTTTATGTAGTCTTCATGGTTTAGGATGACTATGGCTCCTCCTTTATCTGCTGGTTTTATTACTATTTGGTGGTTACATGTTAGAGATTCTATGGCCTTTTTCTCTGGTGGAGAGAGGTTGTTGTGGTGGCGTGTGTTGCTGATTATTTCATTGTTCATTCTTTCCCTGAAGCAGTCAATGTAGCAGTCAAGGTTAGGGTTTCGTCCACTGTGAGGTGTCCAATCTGAGTTTTGGGGGCTTTTTGGCGTTGATCTTTTCCTGAATGTTGTCAGAGGATGAGTTGTTGTTGGGAGTGGGTTCAGTTTGGTCGTGTTTTGTCAGACCGTGCCATGACAAAAAATGCAAAACCTGCTAACACATCTCCACCACCCCCACTATTACTACACCCCACAACAGAGCCACCAGCATCCCTGGATCTTACAGCTGCACCTCCAGAAATGTAATATACCTCATCCAATGCCCCAAATGCCCTGATGGAAGATATGTAGGAGAGACCAAACAACAACTGCGCACCAGAATGAACGCACACTGGGAATCTATCAAAGACAGAAATACCCAATTACCGGTGGGGGCACATTTCTCGCAGGAAGACCACTCTCTCTCCAATCTCTCGGTCCTGATCCTCAAGGGAAACTTACACAATACTTCCCAGGGACGAGCCTATGAGCTCCATTGCATCAACCTCCTGGATACTAAAAATCATGGACTAAACATAGACATTGGCTTTTTGATGCATTACAATCTGCCTGGCACCTGACTGCCCAGCCCAGCCCAGCCCAGCCCCTGGCTTCTTTACTTGTCATTCCATCCAGGAAGAGCGCACACCAACTGCTGCAGCTTCCATAGCCTGACGAAGGGTTTTTGAACCTGACAGCTTGCTTAATAACTATTCTCCAACTATTTGGGTTGGTCTAATAAAAGATATCAGATTCACCCAAGGAACCTTGTCTGCATTATATGCTAGCATTTGTGCAACAGCCACTATTCCTATGACCCTGGAATATGCTTGGATCATTCTCTATTTTCTTTTAACCATTAACTCTCTGGGCATGTAAACAATTAGGTATGTTCATTTTGTAAATACAAAGCATCTCTATGAGAAAGCATTAATATTATTATTAAAGAGTAAATGTAACTTACAGGAAGCAAGGGAGCAAGAGTATGTTTTCCTTCTTGTGTGTGGTTCTTGTGTGTGTATGTGCATGCTCGCATGTGAAAATTTGTTATAACACAGCATGGGAAAGCGCCATAATCATGACATATCTTAGGTTAGTGGAGCAAACAAGCGTCCTCACTAGGGCTGTGCAAAATTTCGCCACCAGTTTTGTTTCAACACTGTTTCGACCTGTTTCTAAGTCAAAACAGAAAAATCTAAATGAAACAGATATGGTGGAAACAGCCTCAAAACAAAATTAGGCAAGTCGAAACGTTTCACTGTTTCACCGCTGTTTCGACCTTTTGCCCATAGGCTATAATGGGTAAGGATGAAACAGCCTATAAGGTTGTCATTTCTGGCCAGATTTAGATAAAACTTACAGAAATTATAGCTGCTTTGGAGGGCATAAAGTCTGCCATGTTTCAAGGAGATTGGTGCAGGGGGTTCAGAGAAATTGCACCCCAAAATCTTGAAAGCAAACCTCATGTCACGTGTATGTGTTAAGCCACAGTGGAATCAAAACTGCAGGCATGCTAGCCCCTTCTGAGGCCACAAAGCCTGCCAAGTTTCAAGGAGATCACTGCAGGGGTTTGGGGGAAACTGTACCTCAAGTTGTGGACAAGCAAAACTTGTGACATGGGTGACGGGGCTA